TTATTTACCTGAAGTTCCGATTTAATGGGCATCCTGTATTTTTATTTGCTAAGTCTGTTAGCTCTGTGAGGTGTGGAGGGAAGGAGAGAGTCATGCATTGATTTGCAGGGTGAAGGATGTGCTGGAGAGCCCCTTCCTCTGGTTCCTAAATTCAGCCCTGACCTCAAGGAGAGGACCCATAGCTACAGGACATTGGGGGAGGGGCTGGCTGGTTGGTTAGCATGGAGCAGAATTGAGTCCCCACACGTTTACTGATATGGATGGATCGCAGTGATCCTTGCCCTAGCCAGGAGCGGGTTTGCTCTGGGACAGGAGCCGGAGGAAGCCCGAAGCCCCTAAGTACTTTCGCCGGGACGGGCCCCAGGTGCCATCCCCAGACCTTGCGCTATTCCCGGCCCGTGCCCATCGGGGGCCGGGATGAACCATAACTGCTCGTCCTCTGTCGCCACCGTGTGGCCAGAGCTGCACACGACACCCTTTCCAGCAACAATTGTGGAGCCGGTTCTGTATTATTTATGTAAAGTGGACATAACCGCCCTTGGCCCCGGGCTGTGGGCTCCCCAGGACCCACACCGGCCCATCATTTTCACCTTCCACTGCCGACCGTCCCTCGCTCAGCAGCTCAGCGCTAGCACACAGTGGATCCTCCCTAAATGTTTGTTGATTGAATAAACGACAGGGCACCTCCCAAACTGAGATTTTTTTTCTTTACCCTCACCAGATCCCTAACCACCCGACCTACTGAAGTCCTGGGATGCTGCACGCATTTAAATACACACACTGAGTGGGAGGGAGAGAGGTGACTCATGCTGGAGGCTGCTCTGGCTTGTACCATCTGACCATTGGGATTTATCCTGGTGTCCAGCATGAGCAGGAATTGGACTCTTTCTCCAAGAGGTTAATGTAAGTTCTACCTCTAGGCATTGTGGATATTCGGGGCTTGTTATTCTCTGGCTGGGTGGCCCTGGGCACTGTGGGGTGTGAAGCAGCATCTCTGACCCCACCCACTCGTTGCCAGGAAACCCCCCACCGCTTTCTGACAATGAAAATGTCTTTATAGTGTCCCTGGGGGAGCAGGAACACCCCCTCCCAGTGAGAAACTTTCATCCTGATCCTCAGGGATTGGACCAAATTGGCCCTGAAAAGGCTGAGTCCCCGTATCTCCCCACACCCCCATCCACACAGAGGGTTCCGCTCGAAAAATTGGAACATCTGATTTTGGTTTATTTCAAGCACCCTTGGGATGGATTTATGTCCCAGCTAAAATGGCTTATGCTTGATTTGTAAAACTTTTTAGTATGCGAACTGTCAGGTGTAAATCCAAGCAGAGGAGCAGAGAGTCAATTTGAAGGACCCGGCTTCAGCAGTAACCAATTCTCAAGCTCCCTAACGATCCCCAGCTGCTACTCTCCACCTGCCTCCTTGCCCTCATAGCCCAGGTTTCTCTACAGTAAACTGCATTTCTCCGCAAGGCAAGGATGGATGCACAGCATCACCACCAGACTTAAAATCAACACTAATTTCTAGATGACAATGACCTGGTGAGCAATTCAGTGTCCTCAGGTGTATTATTGTTATTTACAGTCGGTCTGTTTATATCTGCATCTGATGCACTCCCCCTTGACATTTGGCTCACGTGTCTTGACTGTGTAATCTAACCCAGCGGTTCCCAATCTCAGCTGCTCCTTGGAGTGAATGAGGAGTTTTAAGAAACAACAAAGCCTGAACCCCCAATTCTGCTGTAATTGGTCTTGACCACATGGGGAGCAGGATTTTTTTTTAATTGTGGTAAAATACACATAACATAAAATGTACCACTTAAATCACTTTAAAGTGTACAATTCGATAGCATTAAGTATATTCATAATTTTGCACCTCCATCACCTCTATCTCATTCCAGACCATTCTCATTACTCCAAAAAGAGACCCCACCGCCATTAACAGTTATTCCCCTCCCCAAGCCCCTGACAACCACGAATCTACACTTCGTGTCTGTGGACTGGCCTGTTCTGAACATTTCACATCCTTGGACTCACACGCTGTGTGTCCTTCTGTGTCTGCTTCTCTCACTGAGCATCGTGCTCCAGGGTCCGTCCACGTGGGCTGCTCTCCTCTTTATGACTGATTAATAGTATAGTGTATAGACAGACTGTATTTTGTTATCCATTTACCCTCGAAGGACATGTGGGTTGTTTCCACTTTGGCTGTTTGAACAGGGCTACTCTGAACGTTTGCACACACTATTTTGTTTTTGAACACCTATTTTAAATTCTTTTGGGGTAGACACCTGGCAGTAAAATTGCTGGGTCATATTGTAATTCTAGGTTTAATTTATGGAAGAACCAAGAAACAGAGCTTTTTAATTGCAAATTTTATTGAGATCATTGTAGATTCCCCTGCAGTTGTAAAAGATAACACTGATTCCCGTGTAGTTTGCCCAGCCTCCCCCAATGGTCCCCTTTGACAAAGCGACAATCAGCGTCTCAACCAGGATATATATCCTCATCCGACTTCTGAATTCCCCAGTTTTACTTGCATCTGTGTGTGTGCGTGCGCGTGTGTACTTAATTGTCTACAAGAGCATCAGCTGGGCAGGTTCGTGCACCACAACCACAAGGACCCCTCGAGCTGCCCTGTTATAACACAGCCCCTCCCTCCGTCTCCCCCCACTCAGCCCCGGCAAACACTCAACTGTCCTCCATCACAAAAGATGGTATCCTTTCAAAAATGTTATACAGACAGAATCTGACATCACGTGACCTTTCGACATCGGCTGTTTTTGCTCAGCATAATTCCCTGGAGTCACTAGGATTTTAAAACCTCTCCGGGGAGGCGGGAGTGGGGGTGCGGGTATTAAGGCTGACCTGCTTACAGCTGCCTCTCCGTCTTCCTAGCACTTGAGCTATTGAGGCAACTCACGTGCCT